CTCGGCAGCAGTTGCTTAAACGCATTTGTGCCATGTGCCTCTCCTTATGGTCAGGGATTTATTTAGCTCCTAGAACTTTGCAGAGGAATGAGGTGGTGGTGATGCCACATTAATGTGGAGCCTTAAATAGAGAGCACTGTTTAACCTGGAACCCAAGGGAAGAGAAAGTAGGTCGGTTCTCTTGGCAGCAGCTGGAGGAAGGAGGGAACAGTGAGCAGAGCTCAGATGAAGTTTATTTGGCAAGGCCTGATTCTGAGGGCTTGAGGTTTGATGTTTGGGGACACTTCTTTGCATCAGTGACTTGGTGGTGCTCCTATTTCTATGACACCTGTACTAGTTCAAGCCCTTTGTATTGTGTTCACCAGGGTGCTGCATAGCAATCTGAGATTATCAGACCAGGAAGTCCAATCTGTGGTCTGTCAAAAAAAAAAAAAAAGTCTTAGAGGTCTGCAAAGGTGATGATTGTGTGCTTAGGGCTATGATAGAAACCTTTACAAAAAAAGGTGAAACGGGCCTATATTTGCCAAAGACAAACACAGTTACGATGCTTTTTTGTTTTTATGTGGAGCTGTGTGGTCACATGGGTGTCTAAAGATCAGAAGCACCGAGCGCAGCCTGATACATACCTGTGGGATAGAAGCAGAGGTGGCATAATGAAAGGAGTTCTTGGTGGTGAAAGGGTTGGAAGCTACTGGTTGAACCATTTTCTCATTGTACAGCAGGAGAGTCGGGTTGAGTGAGGGGACATGCCTGTCTTGGAGAGGTGCTTAAATACTTATTCCTGGAATGAGAAAGAATTTGCATAAGGTCACACAGCCATACTACTGCAGGGCCAGGAAAAGATCCTGGTCTTCTTGTTCTGTGTCCAGAGTTAATCCCTATTCCCCAGGCAGACTGGGCCTGTCATTAAAAGTGCCTGGAGTTTTCGGGGGGGGGTAGGGGGCATTCTAAATGATTATCTAGCTCCCAGGAATGCCTCTACCTTGTTCCTTCTCTTAAGGTCCTGGACACTTGCCCCATTGACTGTCACTCTCTTTGCTTTAGGGCTATACTGGATAAGAAGCTGGCTGCCTCTGTGAACATCCTGCCCAAGGCATCCTCATTGTGAGTTTTGCTGTGGCCAGTGGAAGGTCAGGTCCTAGCTGGTGGGAGGGGTACTGAACTCATGGGGAATTGTGAAAGAACATCTCAGACGCATTTAATTAATCAACACTTCACTGTTGAGTTGTATTCAAAGGAAATGAACCAGTGTGTTTATGTCATCCTATGAACAAAAGCAAAAATGTGCTGTATGTGTACAGAGAAAGGAGGGGAAACCCTCCAGTTTAGGAACAGTGAGTCCTGCTTGCATATTCTTTGTTTAAATTAATTAGTTTGCTGTTAGCAGGGAAGCCAGAATGGGCATTCCATCCCTGAGCGAGGCAAGTAGGGCTATCAAAGGAGATAGTCTCCATTGCTTTTAGATTCTTTGGGAAACCGAGAGTTTGGCATGTGACAGGCTGTTTCTGTGCCTTGCCTGTCTTTCATTTCATTGACACCTTTATTTTAGTTAAGTCTGGTCTGTCCCATTTCTTCCATTAAAATAGTTTAGCATCCCACTACACCTTGTGCAGCATTTGTCTTGTGCCTTAAACGCTCTGATTAGCCTGTTCCTCATCTTCCCTCCTGGAAAGAGAGAGAATAAGAGCATGGGGTGGGAAGAAAAAGGACAGATGGGGAAGAAAATAAAGAAAATAATATATACTCTGAAGGTCAAAACAGAAGAATGCTATATAGTTAAAGCTCCCCCCACTTGCCAACATTGTCATTGCCTCAGTGGCTCACATCATTTATTGCTATAGCTCCCAAGTTTGGCTGTGCTTCCAATTCCTGAGCTCCATTCTAGTTCTACTTAATCAGTCCCTCTGAGGGTGGGACTTGGTTCTTTGAATTTTTAAGAAGTGGAATAGGTGATTCACATAAAGCCAGTCTGGGAACCAATGCTTGGGACCTAGAACAGAATTTCAGCCTGGTATTCCCTTCAGATGGCCTATAATTGATCCTTTTACCATGGCTCTGTGAGGCAGGGCCAGTGGCTTAGGTCATCTTAGATTTCCCCTGGGTTAGTGTAGATATTCTCAGGCCAAATTTCTTTCCCTTCCCTTCACGTGATGCTGTTCTCATACTCTTTTCTGAATGTCATCACTGACTTTTAACCTTTGGACTTGTTTCCATGTCTTGTAAGGCTCACTTCTTCCCTGAAGTCTCCTCTGCTTCTTATTTATCCTTTCATGGGCACTCAACATTGAGAGTCAGTGGTAAAAGTAGCCTTATTCCACGCCCTAACCGGTTTGGCTCAGCTGATAGAGCATAGGCCTGCGGACTGAAGGGTCCCAGGTTCGATTCTGGTCAAGGGCATGTACCTTGGTTGTGGGCACATCCCCAGTAGGGGGCGTGCAGAAGGCAGCTGATCGATGTTTCTCTCCCATCAATGTTTCTAACTCTCTATCCCTCTCCCTTCCTCTCTGTAAAAAAATCAATAAAATATATTTTTTAAAAAAAGTAGCCCCATTCCATAGGATAGGGAGGGGCCTGGAAGCCATGAGTATAGAATAGTGTTGAAAAAGCCAGAGATGCCCAGTTTGGAGGAGAGAAAACGTAGGAGTTTCTGTACAGCAGGAGAGTCAGGTGGACTCTCCTGAGGTGGTTCTCCATATGGAAGTTGGGGAAAATAACTGGGTGGCAGATGTTGGCACACCATAAGAAAATCCACCTCATGTGAAAACCTTTAAGGTAGATGGACTTCTTCAAGCAATGGCCAGCCTCTCACCTCCAGGAATGTTCAGGCAGATGCTAAAAGCATGCATTAGAATGATTGGACTAGATGACCTGTCATGCCTTGGCCAACTGTAGACTTCTTTATGTGGACTTGGAAAGATTTTAAAGTTTCCACCTCAGTAAGTCACCTAACTGGGCCAGGTTTGATATTTCAGTGGGCTTGTTTTGTGAGCATCATCCTTTGGTCTTGTTCTCGTCTCCAGGTACTTTTGGAATGGAGAAATAGAAGAAGCCACTGAGATCCTGTTGGTGAGTGAAGTTGGGTTTGGGGATGGGCCTTGATACGGAAAGAGTGAGAGCATGGCCTTTTTCCCAGGTTCCAATGAAAAGTTAGCAAAGATCAACTGATTGAGGTTCTTGCCTTAGATTCATTTGCAGGCTAGTGACAGGGCCTGACCTAGAGGGAATGCTGTCTCCTAAATAGCCAGATGAGAAAATGAGCAGCTGCAGAGCTGGGCTGAGGTAAAGCAGTGTTTTTTTTTTCTTTTACAGTTAATAAAGACAAAGACTTCCAAGGTCCGCGTGCTGTCCAGCTATGTCAGGTAATACTGGTGTCTCTTCTCAGCCAGGACCGTTCTAGGGATTAAGTGAATGAGTGTGGAAAGCAGGAAACCTAGTCACAAACCTTCCATATGACCCTGGACAGGTGCCTGTCCCTCAGATTCTCCGTATGTAAAATGAGAGGCTAGAGTGAGTTAGTTTAAACCAGCAGTTCTCAAAATTTTGGTCTCAGGATTCCTTTACACTTTAAAAAATTATCAGGGACCTAAAAGAGCTTTGTTTATGTGGGTTATATCAAAGTTAACTATGTTAGAAATTAAAACTAAGAATTTTTTAAAAATTAACAATAATAAAACCATTACTTATTAATGTTGTAAACAATGCATTTTTATGGAAAGTAACCATATTCCACCACCCCCCAAAAGTGAGAAGAATGGCATCATTTTACATTTTTTGAAAATATGGCTTAATAAGAAACATCTTTAAGTATTGGGACACTTGGAAAGCTCATGGTGATAAGTTCCAAGTTTCCAAACTTCTAATTTTTGCTTGAAAACATAATTTTTTTAAATTGGCAACACATGATGTAAATTGTCTTCAAGTGATGGACTCACGTTGTTCATGTCTGAGACAGTGTCTACCTAATCCTCAAATCTGAGTAACCGTAATTTGTAAAAATGACAGTTTACAGTAACTCAGGCTTAAAAATGGTGCTCCATGAGAAAGTCTGGTTTTAGCTTGTGACGCAGTCAGACAAGTGTAGGACATATTGAATTTAGGCACGAGCACGGTGCTTTCTGTATACTTCCCATGTTGTCACACAAGGCTAAAAATACATGTACTCAAGGGTCAAAACTGAATAAAAATTGTAATTTTTACCACTTTGTCAAGGATGTTCTTAAGTGAATTTGACTTTATGCAAGTGCAGGTGTGTGGTGAAAAATACAACAGTGAGTACAGTTTGGTGCCATCGTCTTGATGCATATGCTAAGGTGCCAGCAGTTTTACCCATCATCACTTTTGCATCATTAGTGCAAATGTCAACACAGTGAAAAGATAAATAACAAATTAGCATTATTATGAACTAATGGACTCATGGAACTCCTGAAAGAACCTTGGAGTTGCCCAGGGATCAGTGGGCCTTACTAGTTTCAAGCCCTACCATTCAAAGTGTGGTTCTGGAATAATTGGCATCGCCTGAAAGCTGAATAGAGCTGCAGTCTCATGTTCACTCTAAACCTATTGAACCCGACTGCATTTGACATGATCCCCAGGTGATTCCATTGCACGTTAAAAGCTTGAGAAGGACTGGTCTAAACAATACTGGCTAATAACTATAATCCCTTGGAGGTGTCTTTCAAATTACCAATTTAAACCCCACTTCAGATTGGGACTTAATTGATCTAAAATGGGGATCAAATACGTTCTTCAGAAGCACCCGGATTGACTCTGATGTGAGGCTAGGATGCAAGTTACTTACTGGATGATGAAACTCTTTTCCTTCACTCCCACCAGGATCCTGTGAATAGATGGCTATACCCGGGCCTCAGAGCTAGCGGTAGAGAAGGCCCTGTGTTACCACCTTAGCAGAGGTGGGGGAACAGGCACCTTTGGTAGAATCGGCACTACCAAGAAACCACAGCTTATCTGGTGAGGGACAGCCTCATGGTTAAGATGGTGAAACCCAGAGCTTAACCTCTAGCGTCAACTCTTAACTCTACTTGCTAGGTGTAGCTGAAGTGTATGCAAATTAGTTATACTTTCTGTGCCTCAGTTGCCCATCTATAAAATGTGAGCCATAATGGTCCCTTGGGACGAATGTATGTGAGGTAGACACATGAAGCGCTGCACCAGTGGCAGCTCTTACTGCTAACGTGTTACAAATGTCCTACTCTCTCTGAATACTGTATTTTTGCTTATAAAAACACATACACTGGTCCAGGTGTCTATGAAATAAAAACATTAAATATCATGGGGCACGGGTAAAATTTCCCTCCTTCCCCCTACACCGGTAAATACCTAGGACGCTGCTGCAATGCATTCTTCTCATACTACATTATCATCATCCCTCCCCTGCAGGAAGCAAGCAGCTAGTCCAGAGACCCCCACTGCGCGATGGCAGACTGGGACCAATAGGCCCCAAG